TGGAATCATATCTATATTTATAATTATATATTTATATTTCATACTATCAATTGCTATAAATTTTGATTACTCTTTACTACCTCTACACTCATAAGCATCATCATCTAAGGATTATCAATGATGAAAGAAGACTATTATCCTTTTATCTGTGTTGGGTTCCCTGAGTGCACCTAATTGCTCACTGAGTGACACAGAATGCTGGACCAGATGAGCTGCGGGCCTGATGAAGCAGAGTTTTATTCCCCGCCTACATCCTAATGTTCCACTCTTGACCAATGTAGGACTGGCCACAGAGTCTAGCGAATCAGTGAATCAGGCAACATACACCCTTTTTGTAATAAACCAACAATTATGATCTCCATAGAATGAGAATGTTGATCAGATAAGCCTTCCTCCAGCAGTTGCATCCCCACTCAGCACAGAATCTGCATATCCTTTGCCCTGTTGAGTCACCAAATAGCCAAAGACAGCACAGATCCACCAAAAGCATATTGCTGGATAAAACCCCGTAAACCAGAGAGCCAGTCTGGTCTAGTGGTTAAGGCACCAGGCTAGAAGCCAGGAGACTGTGAGTTCTAGTCCTGCCTTGAGCATGGAGCCAGCTGGGTGACTTTGGGCCACTCACTCTCTCTCAGCCCAACTCACCTCACAGGGTTGTTCTTGTGAGGAAAACGGGAGGAGGAAGGAGTATTTAGGTATGTTCACCACCTTGAGTTATTTATAAAAAATAATACAAGTGGGATTAAAAAAAAAATCTAAAAAACCCCCACAAGAATCTGCCATCTTAAGAGTAAGAATCATTATTCACTGTTGACTGGAAAGGTTGACTTTTAATCATACCAAATTTTGTTGTATTTCAGTATTAAGGGGACCAGGAGTTGGTCACTGGCATTATTCGCATACATGAAGGGAACTCCAAATCAATGCATTCATCTCACTATGTTCAGGCTGGGACCTTTCAAAAGGTTTGCAAAGTAAGTTAGCAGACTTACAACAACATCTGCTGGTATTTAAAGCATTCAGATCCATTTGCATCATTTCCTGGGAACAAGTATTCTGTTCTTAGAATATAAAAACTGAAGGAGTTTGAACTGGAACAGAATTAAATCAAAGTGTACTTCAACCTTACACTTTAAATCACACATCCAAATGGTGAGGAGTTGAAAAGATGCCCCTTCTGGGTGGCATGAGATAGTTAATTCTTTGACTGCCAAAAGAGCAAGCTCCACAGTAAAGATAAGAATACTCTAAAGGCCAGAAGGTCAAAATAATGAATCTCAATAGCAATTTAAATGAAAGTTAGTTTCTTAGAAGCAAACTTAGCCAAAATGGAAAGCCAATAAAAAACACTAGTTTTACATATTATGTAGCACAGGGGAGTGAAGGAGAAAAATCCCATTTGAATAAAGCTTTGTGTGTATTTTTAGTTAGAAAAATTAGTAAAGCTCTCAGCTATTTGGGTGAGAAGCAGACCAAGTCTAGGGACATTATAAATGTATGACATTATAAATGTATGACTATATGACAATTTCTTGGCACACTTACATCCCTGTTTGGAGCAATGAAATAGTGAACAAAATGTACCTTGGTGTTTCTGAATTGTGATGTCTTTTTAAAAAATCTCTTTTCAGTTTTTTCACCAATCAACTTCCCTGTTCCAAACAAAAAGGAAGTTTCTTGTATTAAAGACTGTGTGTTAATCTTCAGATTGTTGAGCATGTCCATATTTCAAGCAAAGGAATTCATTCTTGTGAGAAAGTGGGGAAATACTAGGACAGCAGTTAAGGGAATTTACGGTTTTGATTACAAATTTATTTTAATCATTTATAACTCTATTTCAATTCTTCTCCAACAAAGGAGAATTATTTGGTACTCCAATAAAGGCTAGAGAGAAAGGGGAGAAGGGAATCTGAATGCTTTACTATTACCAGATCACTGTGTTATAATGAAGATAGGAAAGTTTCAGGTAGGTTGATGAATTCATTATTATTTATATCACTCATGCAAATCTTTTTTTCCTGAGTAGTATTTCATTTAAGTTTATCAAGACCACCACCAATAATAATAAAAAAATAAATCTAGAGACTGAAACGTTGCTACATTAATTGCTTTAGTATTTCTTTAATTTGTGGGAATTATTGAGCTGTAAACTCTATCAGAGTCAATACTGTCTCTCAATTATGTACTCTCTTTATTGCTATTCACATTACCAACATAAATTATCTAATATAATTGGCAATTGTTTTATACTGTAAATAAGCTAGAGATGTCATGTGCAATATTTTGCAGTTGGAATATAAACAGTCCAAGATGATTGCCTTGATTCAACTTCCTTTTGATTTTTATTTTAAGGTCAGTAAAATTACCTCACATTTATAATGCAAGGAAATAACATATGGGATCTAAATTAGTATTTTAGTGTATTACAGAGACTTTCATAAATGGAATAGCTCAGACTTTTCAAAGCCATCTAGGGAATATGATACTATTTTAATCAATTTCAGTGAGTTTTGAAAATAGATTTTGTCAGAAAATAAAAATGGTTTCAATTCATCTTTCGGTGAATGCGATAGTCATCAGGACGTGTTAGCATGAGAGTTGATAAGATGGATCTGGGAACATCATAAAGTGTGAATTCTGGTATATCACATGGGTCACTATGATAAAGCATTCTCTCAGCTTAGTCTATTATGAAATTCTACTCTACTTATCCAGCTTGAATGCCAAGTGCTTTAAAATTTAAAGACAATATATAAAGAATAAAAATAAATAAAACATGAATGAATACATACACCTGGCATGCAAAACAATGCTGTCAGAGTTTCTGTTCATCGCCTATGCAGAAACATTTTAAGCTCTTTATCACATTCCTATGAAATACACATGCATTTTTTTGAGTGGTTTGGCTATATAACATTTCTTTACAATTTTTTAAATTAATAATAGGAACTGTCCATATGTAAACATTTTTATTATATAGAAAAAAACATGAAGGGATATATTGTCAAATACTTTGTTCCAATAACAGAGAACAAAATTCTATAGGACTATTACCTGGGAGCAAATCCCATTAACCCAATGAGGCTTACTTCCATGTTAATTTGAACAGTACTACTGCTCTGATAATGTACACAATTAATTCTAATTAGTAGTCCTCAAATTTTTGTTGTTGTTGTTCAGTCGTTAAGTCGTGTCCAACTCTTCGTGACCCCATGAACGATATCGCGCCAGGCCTTCCTGTCCTTCACTGCCTCCCTGAGTTTGCTCAGTTCCATGCTCATTGCTTCAGTGATGCTATCTAACCATCTCATCCTCTGCCGTCCTCTTCTCCTTTTGCCTTCAATCTTTCCCAGCATCAGGGTCTTTTCCAAAGAGTCCTCTTTTCGCATTAGGCGACCAAAGTATCTGAGCTTGAGCTTAATTATCAATCCTTCCAATGAGCAATCAGGGTTGATTTCCTTTAAGATTGACTGGTTTGACCTCCTAGCAGTCCAGGGGACTCTTAAGAGTCTTCTCCAGCACCACAGTTCAAAGGCATCAATTCTTCGGCGCTCAGCCCCTCAAATTTTACTCTGGTCCTAAATTTCTACTATATATTTATGTATGTGGGAAAAAAACACTTTCCCAATTAGAAGCTATACTATAGATAAATTGTCTATCATACACTGCCATTTTTATTCTTCCCAAAAACATACCATCTTCTTGATTTATTGATTAGTATTATTTTAGCAATGTAAGATTTAATTTTGAATAAAAATATAGAACATGAATAGAGAGCCCTACTAAAAAGGGAAAAAGGAAATTCACAATTAATCACTGATTATGACATCTTGAGTAGGTTTATGGTACAATTCATAACCTGAGATATCCTTTCCATGATCTAATAATTTTTCCTAGATAATCATTGGTCAAATCCGCTATAGACTTCCTAAGCTATAAAGTCTGTTACACTGTCAATTACAATGTAGCTAACAGGTTGGGGAGAAGATGGTCAAATATCAGTGCAATTGTGTACAGCATTAGATATTTTTCTTAAGAACAAGAGTAATAATGCATTACCAGTTATGGGAAGATTGAACATCTATATAGTTTTAATATTATTTATGCTGGTCAGTACTGAAATAAAACACACGCACACACCTATTTGTACGAATGATTTAACAATAGAAATAATGGCACGTTTATTAGCTTTGATTTCTTTCCAACTAACTTACAAAATATTTACTACTGTGAACAAATTTCAGAATAATATAAATCATAATCAGTGTTTGTCATTTCTAGAACAGGACTGTACTGGGACTACAGTTAAGAAATAGGAAGAGTTGGATGTGGCATAACTATGAAGGCAGTAATTAATTTCTATAGCATTTTAGTTTGTTAAATGTTAGCAAACTAAAATGCTATAGATTTAGTTTAGATTGGGGGAAGACTGCTCTAAAATGCACCCTAATTTTCACTGAGATGGTGAATTTGCATGGGATCTATGTTATTACAGACATAGAGAATAGGATGAAAAAATCTAGCAATCTAGATTTGTAGTTCTCTGTGTACAGGGATGATGATGATGATGATGATGATGATGATGATGATGACGACGACACCATTCAGGATTATTATATGTCAGAAAAAAAACAACCTTATGCCCTCAAAGTAACACACTGAAAGCAAATATGCTTTGAATTGTATGCCATTGTTTATATTAATACAAGCATTCCCTCTATGTGGATGCATTTTCTATGGTCTATCTTATAATGGATATCCTTCACCTTATAAAAACAAAAGGTACTAAAATCAATGATAGCAAGGGAAGAAGTCACATGTATTGGAAGTAACACAGAACAATGTTTTCATACAATGAAGCTATTTCAGCTTCCACTTTTATTTGTAGAGGTGTTGAAACAATGGAGTTCATGCTAGTGTCTCTCTCCCAAACAAAATCTGAAGTGTACATTGTGGGTGACTAAATAGAACTGTGCCACAATTGTGAGAGGACTGCACCACACTATTATACTTATCTCTATCACTAACTCTATAATCTATATCTCTCACATACACACATACACACACCTATATTTAGGAGGGGCGTAAGGCTCTATTAAAGAAACAGGATGAAGAATGGTACAGTTACTTTTGTCATGAGACAGCTGAGAAGAAATCTTGTTTTACATTTTATTAAACTTACTCCATGAGCAATCCATATCTGTACAAAATATATCCCTGTGATCTGCTATCAACAGATTTTTCTTCTTGATATTTATTGCACTTTCCTTTGGTAGTTTTTAACTAACAACTGGGAATTTTGAAGAAATATTATATTATAATAATCATAGAATCAGCCTGGAGATAATCTGGAGTCAACCAATCTATTATTTAACTCTGATGTGCAAACACACTATATTATGCCCCGTTCCCTTTCATGTAGAAGCTGAACTGCAGTTACTAATTAACTACACTTATTAAAGCCAAAATGCTAGGGTAGAAGATTCTGGTCAATTTTTCTCTTCTAGGCAACTTTTAAAGAGCCAGGCTTTAATCTCAAAGGTTGCAAGGATTCTCTTGAGAAAATAAAAGGCAACAGCTTGATTGTTCAAGTGGAGAGGAGCAAAATTCTAAGTTACCCAGCATCCATTCCACATGTAAGAACTGAAAATAAAGATACATTTAAATTATTTAAATTATTATATTGACTATACAGTACAGTCTATTGGAGTTTCAAAGAATTACAAAAGTATATGAATTATATTTCTACAATAAAGTAAAAAATAAAACTGACATTCCCCCCAAAAATCTGTAACTGTGATTCTTTTATTTTGTTTAAATAAAAATATGCAGTAACTGTCCACAGAAAGAAAGCTGCACTGTTCATCCATAAGAAGTATGATGTAAGGACTAAGGCTAATCTTTGATGCCAAAGACATCTTCTATTAATGGTAAGTATTTTATTTTTTTCACTGGAAGTGTTGGTGGCTCCCCACGCCATCCATCTTCATACTGAAAGCAATAAACAAAGGATAAAAAGGTTTAGTACTGCAAAGTGAAATGGAAAGTAACTAGAAATGGTGTTGAATACCATCAAGCATTGCAATCTTTGTTTCTGTCAAAATAGCACACCATATATTTGCATTATAATTTTCGGTACGCTTCAGATGTTTTAGCTTATGACACCCATAAGCCCCAGCTTATTGCACTGCCAATTCCTAATCTGCAGTACCAGTTTCATGTATTTCCTTGTAAATCTAGTCCATTTAATTTCTGCTTAAATCTGATTGTCATTAGTATCTCTTGTCCAATAGAAGGTGGTTTTTAATATCTGAAGGATTGTTTATCTATGTCTATGTAATGCACTGCCACAGGATATCATGATAGCAGATATAAGAAACTTTTAAATAAGTATCTGGTAGGTTCTCAAAGCTGCATTCTCACATAATATTTAGACATTTTTTTTAGTCATGGTTTGGACTCTAATGGCCTGGTTTGAACATAATGAAGTCATCAGAGATAGGTCTGCATATCCAAAACTAAACAATATCAGTTAGGACACAGAGTTTGGGGCAAAGCAATCTACTGTATCTTCTCTGCAGCAACTTACTGTATATTTTCTTAATCAACTGTAGTTAATCTTACCTGGTTCATATACTGATTAAACCTCCCAGCAACTTCAAATCAGCATGAGGAGCCACATGTAGATATGACAGAGAAGCTTCTGGGCATGATCCTGATTACATAGCATTATTACTTGTATAATGGAGTGCTTATGAAAGTATATCTTAGCTACATGTAGAGCCCGTACACATTAATAACAAGAATAGAGCTGACAAAGGAACAATCAGCTCACAGTTCAGTGTAGAGAGAAAGATACTGTGTTGTAGAAAACATAATCAAGTTTTCAAATGTAAAATTAAAACGAAATTCCTTGTGAATAGTAGCAAAGTTTTGTCAGTAAACACAAGCTCTTCTGTACTCTTGTTTGAGCTATAATTTATAATTTTTGGAAACTTTTAATCATACATATTTTACTTTACCTGTAATGGCATCAAGATGGTTTGGAAAGCTGGAATTGGATGCTCTCTCCAGTTCAGCCCATCAACCAACTTCTTATAATTTACTTGTTCTTTGCAATCTTCACACCTAAATATAGATTGAGTGTACATATGTTCATTATTTGGCTCACCTTCTATTATTTGGTTTAATCTATAATTTATTTTGATATAATGAAAGTATCTTTGGAGTATAGCTGGAACTCATGAAAACAGAAGAAAATTAAGGAGGAGAAGGGACTCATGGTTTTAGCCTGTGTTCACTCCTGCCTTATAAGTAGACAAATCTTCATTATATACATACACAAATTATGGAACCAGCTCTGAAGCAATTCCCTATTCTAAGACGGGCTAGCTACAGAATGCTCTTGCTTCTTCTCTCCTGGGTGACTCGATACTCTTGGTTTATCTTGCAAAGCACCATGTTTGCATGGACCCCTAGCCCTTGGAGCTTAGCTGGCACAAGAGAAGACTGGTCTGTCAGTGAGGCAGCTGATACCTAAGAGGCTTGTTTTAGAATTCAGAAACCAAATTCCAAGGAATCAGACTATTTTATGTAAATGCTTAAAAGCCCCCTGTTTGTGTGCAGAGTTTAAAGTTGATACTTTGCAGGTGCGCATTCATGGAGTGTTTCTTTGAGTCATTTCACCACAAGGAGCAGATAGAAATTTATTTTTATAGTAGGATTCTACTTTTACTTAAGGAAGACTGAAGTATCAGTTATGTATTGCAAGAACAGATAATGAAAAGCCAACAAAACCAAAAAGAAGTAAATTATGGTGGTGGCCTTTGAACTAAAACAGATTAATACAAGTAATATTCCTGATTTTGTTTGCTGAGGGGAAATCTGGTCAACTGCCATGAACATGTTTTGCATTATTACATTTATTCTTCCCATTTGGGAAAAACAATCACTTATCACACAGAAATACTGAGCCAATAAATAGCCATATTTTAAAAGAATAAATCCGAAATAACAATAATTCTCAATCCTTTATGTTTAAATCGCAAATACACTCAATAAAAGTCAACTGGTATTAAACCAGTTTTACATGTATGCCTTGAGATAACATGTATTCTTTCAGTAAAGACTAGGGAGGGTCCTATGGGGCAAGTATCCTATAGGGAGATATTGGATTGCTACGTTATATTACCAGTCTGCAATTTTATTAATAGGTTTTTAGTTTTTTGCATTCGCAGTATTTGGCTGGCTCAGAAAAAAACAAAGGTGTAAAAGTAAGAGTAAGAAGCATAAAGCTAAAGAAAGAAATGTTGTTACAGTATTCGATAAAAACAACTACAGAACACAAAGACAGACTTTTTTTGTTAAAAAAAATAGTGTCCTCTGTACTCAACATCTGAACAAACAGTGCATATTCATTCCACTGTTGTAAAAGTGGTATTGTATAATTCAGGAAATAACTGGGAACATACTCCAATTTTCAAGTTGTTGGATCAAGTTTTAAAAAATATTCCAATAAAAGTGCTATAATATTGCGGGAAACTCTCTAGGCCCTCTTTCTTAATTGCTATCAAATAACCATGGCAATTCAATTAATGGCTTTGTTTCAGATGTAATACATTCCTGTGGCCCATTTTATTATGAAATCTTGTAGATTCTTTTCAGGTTAACACATGGATTTTAAATACAAGACTTAATTCAGAGAAAGTTTAACTTTCATATAACAAATTAAATACAGGGTGATCAAAATTGCCACATTATGGAATTCATTCAGGATCAGATGTACTCAGTTTTGTTGCACTCCTCTATATTATCTATACAAAGGCCTCATATTAAATATTCAGTGTATTTATCACAATTTTCTTTGGATACAATTCTTTTATTACTGGTTTATAGAACAGAAAGAATTTCATTCCTGGATTGTAGCTGTGCTAACTTTCTAACCATTCAGGTTAGTGGGAATCTAAAAATGGATTACTTTACTCTTTTTTACTAATGCTCATGACCAGTTGTTGTAAATGATGAATAAGCAGCAAATTGTGAAAGTTATCCATCTACACTATGGTGAACTCCCTGAAATGCTTTTATTTTATGAAGGGACCAATTTTTTCACTAGCATTTTTATATTCATTAGGCATTTCAGATAAAGGTTAAAGATTATTTCCTACAGTCCTATGAAGAGACTTTAAAGACTCAGTAAAACTGTCACAGAGCACAGTCCTGTGTTTGGAATGACAATAATATAAGGGCTTGAAGTAACTAGAAGCAAACCAAATCCATAAGAACTACATTATACATCCCCTGATGTATGTCAATTGTTCTTCTGCACATGGAACCTCTAGCCTTTCATCGATAGAGGCTCCAATAAGGTTTTTCCAATTAAAGTACTGTCTAAAATTAACCTTTAGAGAAGCATCTCTAGTCCAGTTAAGGTCTAGTCCTAGCTGAAAAGCTTGCTTCTTCTTAGAAGAAATGTATGGTCTCAGATTTGAACTATTGTGGCTTCTCACATAGCTCTTGATGATGCTGGTGTTTGAGAGCCACTTTTGAAATAAAGCAGCAAATCTCCAACTTGGATTTACAGAGGTAGTAGAACTCCTCACTATTGTAAAAGACAGCCACTGTGGTAGTCCTTTAATTATTAATAATTATTTTATTAATAGCTAATTAAAGGACTACCATAGCTATTTTATTAATATTTTCTCCATCTTGCATAGGAAAGCATTCTCATGGGCTAAACTTAGTGCTCTACCATTCTTGGTTCTAGAGGGGAGGTTTAACAACATTCCACTCCAAGATCACCAGTGCTTCTGCTGAAATGGGACATGTGAGAGTATCTCAGGCATCACTGTGCTGCCCTCTGGTGTTCTGAATGAATAATACCCAAATTAACTGCTTGGGTTGCCTTGAAGAGTTGAATGCTTTCTTCCTTACTAATATATTGGTGGGGGAAGGTGGGGTGAGTTGGTATGCACATATATCAAAGTGTAGTATAAGACCCTTTGAGGTAGGTTGGGCTTAGAAAAAATGACTGGCCCAAGGTCATCCAGGGAGCTTCTATGGCTGAGAACAAAATAGAACCTGGGTCTCCCCATTCCTAGCCCAGCACTTTAAGCACTTTACCACTAGTCTTTAAAAATATCTAGGGGGGTTGCCAAACTTTCTTTGGTTGCAAACTCAGGGTTTAACACTGGAAATGTTCACTGATTGGTTTATTTCTGTTTGGATATAGTCTGTTATCCATTTAATAATCATTTGGCTTTTATTGTGTTAATTTCTCACTTTGGTTTTGTGTAACTGTGTTGCATCAGTTTTGATCTGTCACCATAAAGTATCATAACCATCCTATTCGTTCTTTATATAAATATGAGAGCCATGACTAGTGTCGCACTTTTGGAATAACAAATTGAGTCAACTATCCTTCACTGTACTTTTCTAAGTAGGATGCTGAAACAATAGGCAGTGACAGATATATTGCAGATCTTTAATACCTGCACTGCTTAATTTCAGCCTAAATAGCCCACACTTCAATATTGAGGCCTCTTTTTCACTCAAGCTTTCTACAATTTGTATTTTCTTCTGAAACAGCTGTCTTAACAGCACATTTTCTAAACAATATTCTCATTTGTTTCAACATCACTAACATACTAAAGTGCACTGTACACACATGATTCATCTGATTAATAAAAATATTAAGCAGAGATATAACAAGGCTGTAGTCAAAATGAAAACAGCATGAATATGCAAAAGGATCCCTGGGGAGAAACAACATTAGAATATAAACAATAGAAAGTGCAGAATTGCTTGCAGCTTGCCATTTCATCCAAGCTGAATATGTTTAATAATTTTTCTCAGAATTAAAAGGGATTTTAATTAAAGAGATGACATGTTCATAATTCCACTCCCACTTAAGGAAAATGGGATTTATATATTTTTCTACTATTTCATAAACCAGATATGACTAGATTCCTTTGTATCTCCCAGATATGGAAAGGAATTCGCATCACCTGAAATCATCTCTAGATACTGTATGTAGCAGACTCTTCATCTGCCATTTCAATCTCTGATTAAATCTCTTGCACAGATCTGGGATTGAAGGAGGTATAAATGGTAGTCCCACCATTTTGTCCTAAAGTATTGCTTGTCCTGCTAGTTTCTATATGATGTAAATATAAGTTCCTGAAAATCATGAGCCCAGCTTTTATGCATATGCTTGGAAACCCTTCTCAAACAATTAATATGTAACTAAGCATGGACTGTCGCCTTCCCTTATTAATTCTTTTTCCCCCTTTTTCCACGTAAACATCTTTTGTTGTTTAGATGCTGAATATTTAGATATATGATTTGAAAAAGGAAATTTCTTGCTAAAATCTCTTCTCAGGTAAACAGATATTTCTATTCCTGCCATTTTCACATTTTTAAACTAAAGTCTTTGTTTTTCTTAGAGTGGTGCTGAAGTGATTAGTCTTTGGCAGAAGGACTTAGAAGTTTCCTGTTGAATAGACTAAGACAAGGTAGGATTCTCATAATTGAGGGATGGGAGCAAGAACTCTAGGAAACATTGGGCTTGCTAGCACAGAAAATCATCCCACATTTCAAAATCCATAACTTTCATTGAAATTGCTTCCAAATAATGATTACTAGTTTACAATGGACTTGCGTCATAATCACATCTCAGACATGTTGCCTGAAGCATTTATATTAGGGTCAGTCAAATGTTATGTGGCTCTTGGCCTTTTTAAAAAATTCCCTTCTCCAAACAATTAGTTTAGTTCTGTTTTCTGACCCCAATAGGCAACAGAGAGAGGAAGAAGAGGTGGGTAGACAGGTAGGAGGGAAAAGGAGGATGGTCTTTCCGACTGCCAGGATATAGCCTCTGGTACATTATTGCAAAGGAATGTGGCTCTCAAAAGAAAAAAGATTCTCCAACTCTTATTCATACAAATTATCATATTGGAATTATGACTTACGCAGCCAGTAAAGCTCGTAGAAGATCATCTGCTAATGGTAGCCTGAAGGATTTGCAAACAGTCCTGCACTTGTCACTGGCCAGCAGTCCGCATCTGCACAAACAAAAGTAATGCCTTTTTATTTATTTTAAAATTAGAATTAAAAACAATCATGATGCATGGTTTAAAAGAAGGTTAGATATGCACTAGAAAGGAATGTGAAAAGGATGAAAAAGGAAAAGGAAAAGGAAAACTGGTTCAAATGTGGCCCAACTATTTCTTTTAGTCCTCAGTCTTTAAAGAAAGTTTTGAGTCCTGGAGAAAACCAATGCTCCTGGACACCTACATCCTTTTCATCAAGCAGCCATTTGGCTTCCCCACCAACAACCTCCCGCCAAAGCTCCTCCCATCTTCCCATCCCCAATTCAGGCATTAAAAAACACTTGTTTCCACTTCTGCTGATATACTTGTGGTGGGCACCCTCAACTCATGGCTGAGCAGCCTCCTTCCTCATCCTTCCTCCTTGCTAAAGAATTCTGCCTCCAAGACACTAACACCCATGTAATGACAACAAAAGATTTATATTTATCGTCTTTTTCAAATCTACAGCTTTAAATTGATTAAACCACTTTGGTTTACAATTTGTTAACAGTATTAAAAATCTTGCCCTCTAGTAATAAGATCCGGACCCTAATCCTGCTATAGGATACCCAGAACACAAAAATAACAAGAATCTTGAAGCATGCCAGAAAGAAAAGAAAGTTGTACCATGATACTGTTCCATGCCTTTCTAGAATGTTGCACAAACCTGGAGACAAATCTCCCTTTGCTTCAGTTCAATATAATGTAAAAAACCAATAACACTTTCTTCAGTTACCTAAATCAGGGTATTCATAAGTCCAAATTGCCAATTCACAGTCCATGGAGGTGTTATACTGTGCATATATGTCTGTTATATGTCCAGCTGCTGCCATTGCCAAATGTTCTTACCATTAGGCTGAGGGATGGAGCACAATTATGAAGGAAGGGTGATTATTCCATTATAACTGTGCTTCTGACAGTTTCCCTATTAGTAGTTCTGTGTACTGAGTGACACCCAGTTTAAATGGGAAGGATGGCAGGAGAGTAATTTCTGTTCACTTCTCCTTTGTCAGGAAGGTTGACATGGAGAAGACCTATTTCCATTGTCAATCAGCTGAGATATAGAGTAGAAGGCTTAAACTTACCAGCAACACAGACTGACTTAAAGTGAGAAGAAAGAGAGCACCTATTTTATTAGATGGGTGGTAATAAGAATTAAATCATGCATATTTGATACCAGAATAATTTCTTACTTTTCCCGATCACCGTATGCCAAGGCTGCCAACAGCTGGCCAAAATTCTCAAAGTTATTTTTCTTGAGATATTCCTGGGACACTGCCAGAAGATAAGTGGCATCCATTTCATTCTCCAATCTTACACTGTAATATCGCCCCATAGTCATAATTTCATGTTCTGATAATTTTCCATCTGAGATATTCAATATCACATTTCTAAAAAAGAAAAGAAAATTAAAACATTAATCCATGTATCCATCCACCCACCAACAGTGACAGGGCAAGCTACTGTATATAAAGAGGGAGTAAACCCCACACTCACTAGCACTGATGATGTTACCTAGCCGGGTAATGACATGTCTGCAAGCAAACAGCCAAGCTCAGAGAGCACCTAGGACTCCACAGTTCAACCCTGAGCTTCTTCTCTTCTCTTCTCTTCTCTTCTCTTCTCTTCTCTTCTCTTCTCTTCTCTTCTCTTCTCTTCCCTTCTCTTCCCTTCCCTTCCCTTCCCCTCCCCTCCCCTCCCCTCCCCTCTCCTTATGCATTCATTCATTCATTTTAGTTCTGTATAGCTGAATTTGCCAAAGATTCATGGTGGATTAGAAACGATAACTAAAAGACTGTTTTTACTTTAAAATGCACCAGCAATGAAGGAACTGTAATGGTATGTGGGAATGACCTTGGGAGACCAGATGAAGAGATGCTGCCTAGGGAATGGTCAGATAAGAGGAAACACAGCCCACAGCTGCATAGTGGACGGAACAAGAGGGTCAGAAGGGACCCTCCCTAAGTTACTGGGCTGTAAAGGTGACGGCAGGAGAACTGTACTTTCAGATTTGCAAGATTCTGTTAATGTAGCCTTACAATAAAGTACAGTTAGATCAACTGGTCATGTTTCCTACCTTGTCTACCTAGGAAAGCTGACAGGAACACACAGTATTTCTTAAAAAATAATAACATTCATTACTATTATTGGACTACATTTTTCACGATAGCTTTTCACTCATATGGGGAGCACACTGACTACTTTTCCTTGAGAAAACATTCAGACCTCAAAGCACAGAGAGCAACTATATTTTAAAAGTCTTTATCAGTGGCCACTGATAGTGACAGCTGTATATCTAAAAGAAGGAAATTCAATTGGATAGGCCTTCTTTTACTGCTACCCCTCAACTTTATTGATTTTAATAAACATGGGTTCTGAAGATAAACATATAACACATGCAGATTTGTGTGTGGACTTTTAAATAACCTTAATCCAATAATTTCAGGGCTTTTAAGAAAATACTAGTATTTTAATAGCGCCTTGAAACACACCGTCAACTGATGGAGCTGGTCCCGAATTGGTGAAATACAATCTGACTGCCTAGCCCCAACAAAAATGTGAGGGTCCAAGTTCTGTATAAACTAACTTTCTAAATAAAAGAAATACTGTTACAGGCTACATTACTGAGATGAGGTCCATTTTCCTTAATTGAAGTCACAGCTGAAGTATAAGCCTAAGCTGATGAAGGACACTCTAAGTCCAACTACCAAATTATTGGTCCATAAGGAAAAGTATTACCCCACCCAATAGTAATTGAATTCCTCTATCCAAATAATATTTCCTTATCTGAAACACTGCTGCTTTGTCCAGATTAAACTTCAGCCTGTTCAACTTTATTCATCCCCTAACTACCACCAAACAGCAGTTTTTCAGTTTCCCAAGAATTTATAGATTAAAAAGAGAGAGGCAGAGCTATATAAAATCCATATTAGTAGCATTGCAGCAAAAACCCTGCAGATAATCTCTAGTGGTTTTATACAGATGTTAAATAGTGCAGAAGATAAGTACTGTACAACTAAAGATCACAGGGCAGAGCAAAAATCCCAGAACATTACTTTTTGAGATAAGCCTTCTCAATAGAACTAAAACAACCATAATACCACATTCCTAAAACTCAACCCAGCTGAAATAAACACCATCCAGAAGAATGTTATAATCCATAAACTGCCATCCTGCAGGGCATTCTAGAAAGTTTCAGCCCTCAAATCAGGCATTAATCTGGTCTAAAATTACATAACATGAAATATTGCTGAAATAAGTATTAACTGACCATGTTTTGCTGCACTTTATACTGCTCATTTTTCACTATGAGTTTCATAAAATAATGAAATGGAAAAACATAATCATGCCAATATGTCAATTTTGGAACATTTATCTGCTCAGTAGATAGGCTGCTTTTAAGAATATTGATAAAATCTATGCAATTATAATATGGAAATAAAGATGCAAATTTATTATACCAAGAAAGACACTTAAAACTTGTATAATTCAGCTAAGTTAAATTTAGAATCCTAAACTATACATTATTTACTGATATTGAGATTGTGCACATTTGCGGATAGGAACATTTTTTTTAAGTGTTATTTTCTCTGGACCATTCTAAACGATTTTACTTAAGAGCATTGTAAACAACAGAACAACATCTGTATCAGGGTGGCAGAGAGATGTGTATTATTTCCAAAACTGTTCTGCCAACTTTTAAGAAAAAGGGATCTGAAGCAAATTTCTAATTTTCTTAAAACTCTGCAGTGGTCAGGGATGATAAACTATACAATGGTCAGGGTTGATTGTAGCTGTATTCTTACATTAGAAGTTGTATTCCAATAATGGTAAAAATGATTGCACTGTGTCTTGCTTAAAGGCATTAATTTGTAAATAAGATGGTTTTAACTCTTAACAGGAGACAACTATTTTATAAAGACTTACGCATATTTGCTCAAGAACAGTATGACTTTTCAATAATAAGGAACTCTTGTAGATATAGTAATAGGGACTTAAGACTTTCAGAAGGTTTCTAATTGTTTCAATATAGCAGCATAACCCATATAGATAGATCAATTATCTTCTGATAAGATAAATCTCTGATTCCCTTGGAATACAACTCTGTATGGGTCACTCTGAAGGAGTTGCCTTATTCATCAACTTTCTTCAAGTTCCTGATAGAGCACTTTGTTAGAGGACTCTTAAGCCTCAGTCCATATAAAGCATGGGGTTAAAAAATGGTATGTTGAATTCAGCTGCCATTCTGTTATTTAGTGAAGGTACTTTAAGTGTGCAAGGACCTAAGTACGATTCCTCCCTTACAAAGGAAAAGAAAACTCTCCCTTGGTGTTAATGGAAGGCTTCTGGAGAGGTACTTTTGAACTATATTGTTGTTCTGAACTTTACTATATTGTCTATAGTTATGAACACAACATTGTGTTCTATGTAGAGAATGACCTAGGTCCAATTACTTTATCTCCTCCAAGAAAAATCTTGGTTTTAGTTATGGTCATAACTTGGTTTGGTCATAGCTTGGTTTTAGTTTAGTCATAGTTATGAACACAACATTGTGTTCTATGTAGAGAATGACCTAGGTTCAATTGCCTTATCACCTCCAAGAAAAATCTCAGCGGGATCAGTTAAAACAAACAATGCTGGCTAAATGGATGAATACTTAAGAATATAGCAGCTGTACATGTTAGTAAGTTCATTTTGCTTAAGAATATTCTGCATGAATATTAAAAAGAGGTCTCTATGGTACCACTACAAAATACTTTGTACTAGTTTTTATGCTCCATGCAACAGAGAGCATCTATAACTGAATAAATTCTCTCTCCTTCTCTCTCTTCTTAAACAAGAGAATCTCACAGAAGAATTCCTAAAACTTAATACACCATATTAAATTTTAAATGAATTAAATTTGTTTGGATGCTCAGAATCTCACCTGAAATCATCATAATCAATCATGGTAGTGTTCTGAGGATCAGAGGCTGCAAAAATCTGTTTAATCTCTCTTGACCGAGGTTCTCCTATTGCTTTCAGCTTGTTCAGGATTATGTTGATATTGGCCATAGCAAACTAGAAAAAAAGAGGAGGGAGGACAAAAATATCAATTACGTATTTAATATTCTATTTAACTAATGTAGCCCAAGGTTGATCTTGCCCAAGGTTGATTTTGCTGTACCATTTAACTAATGTACAGCAAGACTGAACACTAATGAAGCCAAAACTAAATTCCAAATTACTACTTATTAAAAGTGTCAGGATTTATTTCAGAGAATCATATGCCAATATACTGTCAGATTGCATATGCACTCTCCCAGGTCCATAAAGAACTGTTCCTGTAAGCAGCCTTATATGGAAAGCAAGCAGTTTCAATGCGTATCTCACCACTGCTCTTTCCTGAGTCTTGGCATGGGCAATAGCATTAGTGGAGAGCCACTAATGGCTACACTAGTTTGGTGTAGGGGTTAAGGCATCAGGCTAGAAACTGGGAGACGGTGAGTTCTGCTCCTGCCTTAGGCAGAAAGCCAGCTGGGTGACCTTGGGCCAGTTATTTTCTCTCAGCCCAAGGAAGGAGGCAATGATAAACCACTTCCAAAACATCTTGCCAAGAAAACTCAAGGACTAGTCCAGGCAGTCACCAGGAATCAAAAACTGACTCAAAGTCCCCCTCCCCAAATAATAATAGTGAGGAAGTAATTTGGAAACATAATGCTTTTTATGCTTCCTTGCTTCTTCTGTGAGGAATTAAGACAGGAAAACATATCTGGCCAATACTACTGTGAAAGCAAGACAATTTATCAGATTGTTGATATGAAGACTTCATTGCTAGACTGCAGGAAAAAAAAAATCAGAAGTTAAAGAACTGGAGGGAAGAACATACATCTTGCACAGAACTTGGGCTGATCCAATGGTGCTAGGTCTTGACGTCAAGTGCAATCTCACCACATGGTGAAGTAACTATGAAACTGCTTTACGATAGAATTACAGAGGTGGAAGTAGCCACTTAGACCATTATGTTCAATCCTATTCAGTGCCAGGATCCAAATAATATAATCTCTGTTTGAAAACATTAGATGAAGGAGAGTCCACTCCTTCCCTGGATATTCTATTCTACTACTGAATTACTCTTACTGTTTGGAAGTTGTTGTTTTTCTAACATTCAACTGGCACCGCCTTCCTGTAACTTAAATTTATTATTTTATGTCCTGCATTCTTGGAGGATGCGGAACAGATCTTGACCTTCTTCTGTATGACATCCTTTCAGGTACTTAGAGGGAGCTATCATGTTTCCCTCAGTCTTCTCAGTTAAACATCCCCAGGTCCTACAATATCTCTTCATAAGGTTCTAATTCCCGATCATCCTCATTTTTCTTTAAATCTATTTGTTTGTCTGAATCCTTACTGAAATGGAAGGCTCAGCACTGGACACAACAGTTGAGTATGGCAAGACCAGTACAGAATAAAGTGAAACTGTTACTTCCTTGATTTGGAAACTACCGTATTTTTCCAACTATAAGACGATACTTTTTTCTAAAATCCTTACCCTAAAAACTGAAGGGCGTCTTATTCAAGGAAGTCAGACAAGAATCGCGCGGGTCCAAACTGCC